GCGCACGGCGGGAAGGAAAACCGCCGCGCGCCTCGGGGCGCACGGCGGGAAGGAAAGGTAGCAGCGGAAGCGAGGTGGAAACCCACCCACAGGATCGATCCAAGGGGATCGACCTGCTCTGATAGCATGACAAAATTAGAAGAAAGAAAGAGGAATGAACTAGCAGAAATGGGGATACAAATAGCAAACCCTAGAAGGGTTGTACTCGCTATGGAGCACCCCACTACAGGCTAGAACATAAGAATAATATTCTGACAGCTGGGGTTGAGATTGACCCTAAGAAGCTGGATACGGTAAAAGCGTGGCGTCCCCCGACGAACATCACGGAACTGCAGAGTTTTTTAGGGTTTGTTAATTACGTTCGTCGGTTCGTCCCCGACATGGCACGCTTAACAGCCCCGCTCACTGATTTACTGCGTAAGGGGGTCCCTTTTACGTGGGGGGAGAAAGAGCATGCTGCCTTCTCTGCCCTAAAAAATATTCTCTGTTCACCACCCGTCCTACGCATCGCTGACCCACACCGCCCCTTCGAAGTGGTTACCGACGCAAGCGACATCGCCATCGGAGCTGTACTGTTACAGGACTTCGGCAACGGCCTCCAACCCATCGCTTACGAATCACGCAAGCTCCATCCACCTGAGCGAAATTACCTGATACACGACCGCGAAATGCTTGCGATCGTGCATGCATTCAAAGTGTGGCGCTGCTACTTGACCGGCGCAGACGTGACAGTACGGACAGACCATCGATCCCTACAGTACCTTCGCGCACAGCCCCACCTCAACCCACGACAGATTCGGTGGCTCGACTTCCTCGAGTCGAATTTCCACTATACGGTCACATATAAAAAAGGAGCCTCGAATATCGCTGACGCACTGACCCGCCCCACTGCCCAAATCCACGCGATACTACTCACCCAGACCAGCCCATTACTGACAGGACTATTTACCCACGGATATCAAACAGACCCGTTCTTCACAGGAGGAAATTCACAGCAATTCGCAGCAGCCAAGGGAGTCTATTACGTAAAAGCTGGAACCGACCGCATCTGGGTACCAGGATACACGCTACTGCGGGAACTACTGGTACAGGAAGCACACGACGGAGTTACCTCGGGACATTTCGGAGTAGAAAAAACACGGCAGCAGCTGCAACGGTACTACTACTGGCCGGAAATGTTGACCGACGTGCAACGACACGTGGCATCGTGTCCCACTTGCCAGCTCATGAAGTCAAGCAGGAAGCGGCCGGCGGGACAATTGCAACCAATCCCACCCCCAGAGCGTGCTTGGCAGCAGGTGACGATGGACTTCGTCACGGGTTTACCGGCTGGGGCGAGTGGGAATGACGCGATCCTGGTCGTCGTCGATCGACTAACGAAAATGGCACATTTCGCAGCATGAAGGAAATCAATCACAGCCGAGGAAACAGCCCGACTCTTCATCACCACCGTCGTTCGACTGCACGGGATACCAGCGTCGATCATCAGCGACAGGGACACGAAGTTTACCAGTAATTTCTGGCGGAACCTATGGCAGCAGTTCGGCACGCGACTTCAATTCAGTTCATCCTACCACCCCGAAACTGACGGACAGACAGAACGGACAAACCAGACCATGGAGTAGCTGATTCGAGCCACGTGCGACGATCCAAACACGTGGGAACAGCAGCTGCCTCTCATCGAGTTTGCGTACAACAACGCGCCATCCGCCACGACCCAACAGTCGCCATTTTACTTGAACTACGGACAGGATCCAACAGTACCCATGACACCGAATCCCGACAATCCCGTTCCACGCGCACAACAGTTCGCCGAGATTCTGCAAGCAGCACGGACCAGGGCAGCAGAAGCAATAAAAAAATCAAATATCATCGCTAAACGCAACGCCGATCGCCACCGCAGGCCCGTCACTTATCAGCCGGATGACCTCGTTTTACTCGACACTCAGAACCTCCGCCTGCCCATCACTCCCAAACTCCGCCCTCGATACTATGGGCCATTTCGAATCAGTCACATGATCACACCTGTCACTGCGCACCTCCTCCTTCCCGCTGACTGGTATGTCAGCCCCTCGTTCCACGTCAGTCTGCTTCGCCCTTACGTCCCATCCACCAGCCAACTACCACGACATCGGCCATCCAGCATGACACGACCACCAACCGAACCGGTCATCACCCCCGAAAAAATCTTGAGCCACAGAGTTCGCGACCCTCGAGGAGCCCGAAAAGTTGAGTTTCTGATCCGCTGGAAAGATCGTACACCCACCGAGGACAACTGGGTTCCCCTGGACAAAGTTGAAAACCACCCTGTCGTCACCGACTACCTGCGCAGCCGAAACTTCAAAGACGTCCTCGCGCTTTCGTAAGGAGGACCTCCTTAGGAGGGGGGGGGGTAGTGTAAGGAAATTCCCTTTTCCTTACTTCGCATCCCTGCTCAACGCGTACATCACTGTAGCACCTCAGTCAGCACCGTTACCACTCGCGACCATCGCACCGATAATCATCCCGCCAATTTCGCACATCGCATCCCGACCTCACGGCTCGGCTGGTAACCCGCGCTCCGGGCCTACGCTTCGATATTCTCCCAACCTCAGTCCCAGGCTCGTCGCGCGACCATTACCGTTACCACTGTAGTTTCGCTATATATTCTTCGCTCATACCTTCGCTCATTGTACTCTTGCTTCGATAGTGCAATTCTCGTTCGTTCACTCAATTGCACTTGTAACACTGATGAACGTAAAACAAAACAACTCATGTATCTTTGAGTGTACAAAATGGTATGGTAACCATTTCTTCTGAAAATAGCTAGCAACATAGCAGGCCCAAAGGTAAGGGAGTGGGTAGGGAGACCAGCACACAACACCTCTCCCCCTCCAACCACTTGCACCCACCCCTCTTCCCCACTCCTCCAACCACCAACCGCCAAGCTAACCCCGCTCTCATTAATATCCAACAGTACCATCACCAACGATCCACCAGACCAGCTATGGCATTGGTACAGTATCTCAGATAAAAAACATTAATCCCAGCTAGATCTTGGTTCCACTAATGTCATCATCCATAAGCTCACAGTACTACATGTGCCGGGTGGAGGGAAGGAACAGAAGAGTTCTGTTGAGAAATATCATATAACGAAACATTTATGCTGCTAGATTTTACTGTAGTCCTCCTTATAAGACTTCAGGGCCTACAATAATTGTACAATTATTGTAGGGCTAGAATTATTGGAGTCTAGAGGTCTGGGGGTAGAATTACGGTATTGGTATTCCTGTATTGGAGTCACCATTATTGGTGGCACAATTATTGGTGTGCATGGATGGGTATGGGCAGGGTAGCTGACAGGATAAATTCCCTGCTGTGTGGTTTCACAATCAATCAATTCCATTTCTCTCATTCCGCTTCAACCATTTTCGGTACAAGTCTTCCAGTCTTGCTACAATCCAGCTTTCGCAACGACGGCATCATGCCTTTCTAGCAAGTTCGATCTGTTTGCATGTGTGCTGGCATGACATGGCAGGTGTGGCACGGCACGATATGGGCGTCATACAACCAAAGCTTACACAGCACCACCAATCACACACTTTCCTCATTCATTGTAGAATGATAACAACCCAAAATGAAACAGAATTCTCTCATATCACTGGCGTGATATGGCATGGCATGCAAAGGCTGTCCTGTCATGTGTCATCCCTCCCGTGTCATGACATGGGATGGCATGCTGCAGTCACTTGTTCAGGTTGAAGCGCACTTGCTGGCACCATGGGCATGATGATGGGAGAGCAGAGCAATGGGAGGCGCATGGGAGGGGATGATTTGAGGATTCGGGCAATACAGTGTGCATGGTCATTCGGATGTGAGGGATAGCATGGCATATCATTGCTGCTGTCTTCTTCTGTACAGGTTGAAGCGCACTTGCTGGCAGCAAGGCGATGGGAGTGGATGGGGGTAGGAGGGTATGATTCCGAGAAAAGAAAGAATATGCATCATGGGAAAAGGAAGGGGGCATTGGTTGGGGGGATAAGTAAGCGATGCAAACATATTCTCACGAAATGGACAACTGAGTCATGGGTATGCCATTCATGGGTATGCCATTCATGGGTATGCAACCTGGACACAACACCCACGCATGTAACCCTGCCACATCACACATGCATGTAACCCGGACACACCTCCCATCCATGTAACCTGGACACACCTCCCATGCATGTAACCCGGACACACCTCCCATGCATATAACCCGGACACACCTCCCATGCATATAACCCGGACACACCTCCCATGCATGTAACCCGGACACACCTCCCATGCATGTAACCAGGACACACCTCCCATGCATATACCCCAGACACACCTCCCATGCATGTAACCCGGACACACCTCCCATGCATGTACCCCGGACACACCTCCCATGCATGTAACCCGGACACACCTCCCATGCATGTACCCCGGACACACCTCCCATGCATGTACCCCGGACACACCTCCCATGCATCACGTGCTTTTTTAGATGACCAGAAATCGTTCCAACCCAGTCACACCACACCCAGTAACCAGCGCCACCACTGAACCCAAAGCAGGGAGAGAAACGAACGCCAACACTGCCAACGCACCTTGAGCAGCGAGAGGAAGTGAGCCGCTTGCGAGTGCATGGGGGGCACCTTGAGACGTCTCACAACAGACGTATCACACTTTAGTACAAGATGCACTGGTCTCAACTGAACGCTCACTCCAGGACGTTCTCACCACCACCAACCAATTAACCTTGTGCATGGAGAGGAAGTAGGCCTCCTGCTTGTGCATGCGAGTGCATGCGAGGGTTGTGTTGTGAGAGCTTTCGAAACACTAATAAACCCTGATCTCAACACCACCACCACCAGCGCACCTTGAGCAGCGAGAGGAAGTACGACGGCTGCAAGTGCAGGCGGACAGTCGCCTAAAGCATCTAGCACCACACCAACCAGCTCACTCTGATATCAACACACCACCATCCAGCGGCTCACCTTGAGCAGAGAGAGGAAATAAGCCTGCTGCTCGTGCATGCGGGTGCTGGCACCGTCAAAGAATGGAAGCAGGAACTTCTCGCTCTGTGGTTGAAACAAGTGCGTTAATATTGGATATGATTGGCGATTAAACAGAAGCAATATTTACGCACCTAAATTTTTGAGAGACTGAGTTTATAAGGGGTACAATTGGCAACGATATAGAAATTGCTGAGATGATAAAGAAGAGACGAGATGGGTCAGAAGATTCAAAGGAAAGACGAGATTGGTACATAGATTGGCTTGGCTAGAAGGGGACAATGGTGTGAGGACGTTGATTGACCACTCGTCACTGGAAGAAAGGGCTTTTGATTATACTTCCGGGAAAAAAAGAGAGAGTCAAATTTTGAGTAAAAACCGCGTGTAAGGAGTCGAAATTTGAGTCAAATAAAAATCCACTCATCAATGGAAAGACGACTCGGGCAAGTCAAAGATTTGACGAGCCCCCGGATGGATGAACTTGAAGCGTGTTTTGAGGCGCCTCAAAAGTTGCCAAGGATGGACAGTCTTAAAGCGTGTTACCAGAGGACTTCTGAGTCGACTCAAAAGTCACCTCGTTACAATGGCACTCGACACAAGATTTGACGAGCCAAGGACGGATGGGCTTGAAGCGTGTTACCTGAGGCTAGCCGGTGTGAAACGTGTTACCTGAAGCAGGCTTGAAGCGTGTTACCTGAAGCTAACCGGTGTGATGTTTTCGAGTTCATGACGAGCAGAACATAGGCGGATGTTAACTGCTTCTAATAGTGGACCAAATGGAATATAATGTATTTGCAGAAAGCTTACTGATTCGATGTTATTGATGCGCTTCTTCAGAAGCTCATCCTGAAAAACAACCACCCAAGGAGGGAGGCGGGAGGGAGGGCAGATGAAGCGCCACGCTACAGGTTACTTTTGAGTCAACTCAAAAGCAGACTCATTCCATTCAGGGACCTCACATTCAGGGAGGGCAGATGAAGCGCCACGCTACAGGTTACGTTGTTACAGGGCAGGGGGGGAGGGAAAGCAAGAAAGCAGACAGTGGGGGGTGGGTGGGATGAGAAGGAGGCGAGAACGGAAAACGAGCCACGCGTGGGATGTCCAAATCGTTGGCAATGCGCCAGCTGTCTCCCACCTCCTGGTTGGGATGGGTTGGGATGGGTTGCGGGGAGCACAGGTGGAATAGGCGGGGGTGATCAGTGCTTCAAGAATCTTTGGCACGCGCAGCACTATGCCCAAATCTTTGGCAATGCTGCTCATTCCGCTCTCACCCACCTCACTGCATCCCTCACTCCCACACACCTTGTCTAACTTCTGCGAGTCGGGGCGAAACTCAACCCCCGAGGCCACGTGCTTGTATGAAAGGTGAGGAAAGAACGGCACCAACGCATAAGGCACGCGCGTCACTACGTCCAAATCGTTGGCAATGCGCCAGCTGTCTCCCACCACCTAGATGGGAAGTTATTGTATGGGTTGGCATGTGTTGGGATGGGTTGAGATGAAACTCATAAGGCATGCGCATCACTACGTCCAAATCGTTGGTAATGCGCCAGCTTTCGCCCACCACCTTGTTGGGATGGGTTAGGATGAAAACAAGTACAGCACGCGCCAGCTGTCGCCCAGCTCCGCACCTGGTTGGGATGGGTTGGGATTGGTTGGGATGGGAGGAGGGAGGGGATCTTCAAATCGTTGGAGATGTACCAGTTGTCTCCCATGATCTGGTTGGGACGTTATGGTATGGATTTGGATGGGATGGGATGGGTTGGGATGGGTTGGGATGGTTTGGGATGGGTTGGGATGGTTTGGATGAAACAGGTAAGGCACATAGGCACAATGTCCAAGCCGTTGGGTTGGAGATGTATTTGTTGTCTCCCACGATGTGGTTCGGTTGGGTTGGAAAAGGTTGGGACAGGTTGGGATCGGTTGAGAGGAGGGGATAAGAGGGAGCGGGAATGGGAACGGGGGGAGTGGGGGATGCCAAGAGGAGCGACAGAATCGAAGGAATAGGTGAGGTTACCCACCATGATTCTCATTGGAATTCTATAGTAGGGTTGAGCAAGAGGCGAACACGAACGTGTTCGCGTTCGCCCCTGCACGAGCACTGCCGTTCGACGAACCGAATGCTGTTTGGTTCGCCGAACATCATTAGCAAAAAAAAGGTGCTCGCCGTTCGCCTGTGAAGGCAAACACCATGGTGCCGGAGGCGAACACCATGGTGCCGGAGGCGAACACCATGGTGCCGGAGGCGAACACCATGGTGCCGGAGGCAAACACCATGGTGCCGGAGGCGAACACCATGGTGCCGGAGGCAAACACCATGGTGCCGGAGGCGAACACCATGGTGCCGGAGGCAAACACCATGGTGCCGGAGGCAAACACCATGGTGCCGGAGGCAAACACCATGGTGCCGGAGGCAAACACCATGGTGCCGGAGGCGAACACCATGGTGCCGGAGGCGAACACCATGGTGCCGGAGGCAAACACCATGGTGCCGGAGGCGAACACCATGGTGCCGGAGGCGAACACCATGGTGCCGGAGGCGAACACCATGGTGCCGGAGGCGAACACCATGGTGCCGGAGGCAAACACCATGGTGCCGGAGGCGAACACCATGGTGCCGGAGGCGAACACCATGGTGCCGGAGGCGAACACCATGGTGCCGGAGGCGAACACCATGGTGCCGGAGGCGAACACCATGGTGCCGGAGGCGAACACCATGGTGCCGGAGGCGAACACCATGGTGCCGGAGGCGAACACCATGGTGCCGGAGGCGAACACCATGGTGCCGGAGGCGAACACGAACGTGTTCGCCCCGGGACTACAATCACTATAGTCACACATGACAGATATTGAATTTGCCCCCCCCTTCTTGCCATCTGATCTGACGGCGAAAATGGCCTTTGGCGCCTTCGATCAGAGGGCATTCGCGACGAACACATTCGTGTTCGGTTTTGCCCCGAAACGAACACGAACGTGTTCGTGTTCGTCGCGGCTCGGGCTTCCAAGACCAACCGAACACGAACATGTTCGGGCGAACACCGAACACGTTCGCCACGAACAATTTAACCTGCTCAAGCCTAGTCTATAGACCGGCAAATGAATCCAATGCCCATGTGGGCAAACAGGGAGTTTTTTAGATTTCTAAAAAAACACCCTGCAATCTCAAGGTGAGGGGACAGCACCTATAGACAGAACCCTTTGCCCATGTGAACAGATAGGGTGTTCTGAGGATTCTAAAAAACACCCTGCAGCAATTACAAGGTCAGGGGACAATCAGCACCTATAGACAGAACACTTTAGGGTGAATTTTGAGTCGACTCAAAAGTCATCTCAAGGTGAGGGGACAATCAGCACCTACAGAATCCCATGTGGCTGGAACCCTGCATAAATTGACTTGCACTTGCCCGTGGCCTTTCACTGCTCTTTCTAAGCATTGTACTTAGGGACCTACCAACTAAGCAATACGCACCTGGTAGAAGCGAGCAGCAAAGTTACGGTTGCCCACACGGGGAGAGCCGAAGTTGTAGAGAGAGAGGGTGAAACCGTTCTGCCTGTGGTGGTGGTGATAATGAGGGATTGGAAAGAGGGGTGTGTATAGCAACGGGGGAAGGAATTTGAGTCTCCTCACAAGCCACGCGGGGAGAGCCGAAGTTGTTGAGAGAGAGAGCAAACCCGTGCTGCCTGTGGTGGTGGTGAGAAGAGATTGGAAACAAGAGGACCTGTAGTTCATAAAAATATGCATATATTTTTTTATATATTCTTGTATTAAATATGAGGTAGGCATGAGCAGGGGGCGAACACGAACATGTTCGTGTTCACCAGGGGCGAACATGTTCGGGTTCACCAGGGGCGAATATGTCATTTGAGTCGACTCAAAAGTCACCTCAAAAGGCATGAGCAGAGGGTTCACCAGGGGCGAATATGTCATTTGAGTCGACTCAAAAGTCACCTCAAAAGGCATGAGCAGGGGGTTCACCAGGGGCGAATATGTCACCTTCGGTTCGCCGCGAACACTTTCAGGGAAAAGGGTGTTCGCTGTTCGCCTCCAGGGGCAACACCCTCATGTTCGCCGCGAGCATGAACATGTTCTTGGCGAACATGTTCATGCTCTCCTGTCACACCCCTCAATATAGCCACATTAACCAGTGTACAGCCCTAATCTGGCCTTAATGTTGAATTCGCCTACGATTTCAGCAGGGGTTGGTGGGTTCCCGTTGGCCTGAGCCCCAAATGGCTTTTGAGACGTCTCAAAGGTGGGTTCTCGTTGGCCTGAGCCCCAAATGGCACTATAAAGCCTTAGCCAAAATCCTATCTATTCTCCCTACTAACTACGCTACCCTATTTGTGTAGTTTAGGCTGGTGCCTAGTGTTGCTGGTGGGGAGTATGGGTTGTGGGTGGGAGGATCGTCAAGGTTTGAGCTCAAACTGAATATTCCGCGACCTAAATATGTTGGTCGCGGCGGCGAACACTTCTTTCTTCGGTGACACCCTCAGACGAACACGAGCGTTTTTGTGTTCGTCGTGGCTCGGCCTGCCGCGGCGAACCGAACGCGAACATGTTCGGGTGAACACGAACATTGCCTCGAACACTTAAGGCCAGAAACACATTGTTAGAAAATATATTATAGCATGCTTAGACTTTTGAGCCTGTACACCAATTGTGGTGTACAATTGGGTTGGGACTACACCCAACATTGGGTGTAGCTTTGCAGGTTGGGGTGCCAATCCAACCCAATTGTGGTGGAGTCCCCAAATGCACCCATTGGTCCTTAAAGCTGCGGTCTACATAACTGAAGCGGGAGCCATAGGTTTATCACTTGAAAACAGGGTAAGATTTTAATCTCACTTGGTTGTGTGGGGGAGACTTTGTCTTCCGCGAATCCGCCAACCCAACCCCCTCACGAAATGGTTGGCGTCGCCAGCACGCTTTGCATTCCTTGACCATGTGATCCTTGCTTCCGCTCAATTCGTTCCCCAATCATTGCGCGTCAAAGGGTGTGCAAACAATTTAATCCCAAAAAACACTTTCAAATGTAGACTGCAGCTCTAATGGTGGCAACACTTTGGGAATGTTGCCAACCCAACCCAATGGGCCATTGGTTGGCAACACTTTCCCAAGTGTTGCCAACTTAACCCAATGGGCCATAGGTTGGCCATAGGTTGGCCATAGGTTGGCCATAGGTTGGCCATAGGTTGGCCATAGGTTGGCCATAGGTTGGCCATCGGTTGGCCATAGGTTGGCCATAGGTTGGCCATAGGTTGGCCATAGGTTGGCCATAGGTTGGCCATAGGTTGGCCATAGGTTGGCCATAGGTTGGCCATAGGTTGGCCCGCTCTCCCAAGTGTTGCCAACCTAAGTGTCTGAGTGTCCACGCCCAAGTGTTGCCAACCTAAGTGTCTGAGTGTCCACGCCCATGTGTTGCCAACCTAAGTGTCTGAGTGTCCACGCCCATGTGTTGCCAACCTAAGTGTCTGAGTGTCCACGCCCATGTGTTGCCAACCTAAGTGTCTGAGTGTCCACGCCCAAGTGTTGCCAACCTAAGTGTCTGAGTGTCCACGCCCAAGTGTTGCCAACCTAAGTGTCTGAGTGTCCACGCCCATGTGTTGCCAACCTAAGTGTCTGAGTGTCCACGCCCAAGTGTTGCCAACCTAAGTGTCTGAGTGTCCACGCCCATGTGTTGCCAACCTAAGTGTCTGAGTGTCCACGCCCAAGTGTTGCCAACCTAAGTGTCTGAGTGTCCACGCCCATGTGTTGCCAACCTAAGTGTCTGAGTGTCCACGCCCATGTGTTGCCAACCTAAGTGTCTGAGTGTCCACGCCCATGTGTTGCCAACCTAAGTGTCTGAGTGTCCACGCCCAAGTGTTACCAACCTAAGTGTCTGAGTGTCCACGCCCAAGTGTTGCCAACCTAAGTGTCTGAGTGTCCACGCCCATGTGTTGCCAACCTAAGTGTCTGAGTGTCCACGCCCATGTGTTGCCAACCTAAGTGTCTGAGTGTCCACGCCCATGTGTTGCCAACCTAAGTGTCTGAGTGTCCACGCCCAAGTGTTGCCAACCTAAGTGTCTGAGTGTCCACGCCCAAGTGTTGCCAACCTAAGTGTCTGAGTGTCCACGCCCATGTGTTGCCAACCTAAGTGTCTGAGTGTCCACGCCCAAGTGTTGCCAACCTAAGTGTCTGAGTGTCCACGCCCATGTGTTGCCAACCTAAGTGTCTGAGTGTCCACGCCCAAGTGTTGCCAACCTAAGTGTCTGAGTGTCCACGCCCAAGTGTTGCCAACCTAAGTGTCTGAGTGTCCACGCCCATGTGTTGCCAACCTAAGTGTCTGAGTGTCCACGCCCATGTGTTGCCAACCTAAGTGTCTGAGTGTCCACGCCCATGTGTTGCCAACCTAAGTGTCTGAGTGTCCACGCCCATGTGTTGCCAACCTAAGTGTCTGAGTGTCCACGCCCATGTGTTGCCAACCTAAGTGTCTGAGTGTCCACGCCCATGTGTTGCCAACCTAAGTGTCTGAGTGTCCACGCCCAAGTGTTGCCAACCTAAGTGTCTGAGTGTCCACGCCCAAGTGTTGCCAACCTAAGTGTCTGAGTGTCCACGCCCATGTGTTGCCAACCTAAGTGTCTGAGTGTCCACGCCCATGTGTTGCCAACCTAAGTGTCTGAGTGTCCACGCCCATGTGTTGCCAACCTAAGTGTCTGAGTGTCCACGCCCAAGTGTTGCCAACCTAAGTGTCTGAGTGTCCACGCCCATGTGTTGCCAACCTAAGTGTCTGAGTGTCCACGCCCAAGTGTTGCCAACCTAAGTGTCTGAGTGTCCACGCCCATGTGTTGCCAACCTAAGTGTCTGAGTGTCCACGCCCATGTGTTGCCAACCTAAGTGTCTGAGTGTCCACGCCCAAGTGTTGCCAACCTAAGTGTCTGAGTGTCCACGCCCAAGTGTTGCCAACCTAAGTGTCTGAGTGTCCACGCCCATGTGTTGCCAACCTAAGTGTCTGAGTGTCCACGCCCATGTGTTGCCAACCTAAGTGTCTGAGTGTCCACGCCCATGTGTTGCCAACCTAAGTGTCTGAGTGTCCACGCCCATGTGTTGCCAACCTAAGTGTCTGAGTGTCCACGCCCATGTGTTGCCAACCTAAGTGTCTGAGTGTCCACGCCCATGTGTTGCCAACCTAAGTGTCTGAGTGTCCACGCCCATGTGTTGCCAACCTAAGTGTCTGAGTGTCCACGCCCATGTGTTGCCAACCTAAGTGTCTGAGTGTCCACGCCCATGTGTTGCCAACCTAAGTGTCTGAGTGTCCACGCCCATGTGTTGCCAACCTAAGTGTCTGAGTGTCCACGCCCATGTGTTGCCAACCTAAGTGTCTGAGTGTCCACGCCCAAGTGTTGCCAACCTAAGTGTCTGAGTGTCCACGCCCATGTGTTGCCAACCTAAGTGTCTGAGTGTCCACGCCCATGTGTTGCCAACCTAAGTGTCTGAGTGTCCACGCCCAAGTGTTGCCAACCTAAGTGTCTGAGTGTCCACGCCCATGTGTTGCCAACCTAAGTGTCTGAGTGTCCACGCCCATGTGTTGCCAACCTAAGTGTCTGAGTGTCCACGCCCATGTGTTGCCAACCTAAGTGTCTGAGTGTCCACGCCCATGTGTTGCCAACCTAAGTGTCTGAGTGTCCACGCCCATGTGTTGCCAACCTAAGTGTCTGAGTGTCCACGCCCATGTGTTGCCAACCTAAGTGTCTGAGTGTCCACGCCCAAGTGTTGCCAACCTAAGTGTCTGAGTGTCCACGCCCAAGTGTTGCCAACCTAAGTGTCTGAGTGTCCACGCCCAAGTGTTGCCAACCTAAGTGTCTGAGTGTCCACGCCCATGTGTTGCCAACCTAAGTGTCTGAGTGTCCACGCCCATGTGTTGCCAACCTAAGTGTCTGAGTGTCCACGCCCATGTGTTGCCAACCTAAGTGTCTGAGTGTCCACGCCCAAGTGTTGCCAACCTAAGTGTCTGAGTGTCCACGCCCATGTGTTGCCAACCTAAGTGTCTGAGTGTCCACGCCCATGTGTTGCCAACCTAAGTGTCTGAGTGTCCACGCCCATGTGTTGCCAACCTAAGTGTCTGAGTGTCCACGCCCAAGTGTTGCCAACCTAAGTGTCTGAGTGTCCACGCCCATGTGTTGCCAACCTAAGTGTCTGAGTGTCCACGCCCATGTGTTGCCAACCTAAGTGTCTGAGTGTCCACGCCCAAGTGTTGCCAACCTAAGTGTCTGAGTGTCCACGCCCATGTGTTGCCAACCTAAGTGTCTGAGTGTCCACGCCCATGTGTTGCCAACCTAAGTGTCTGAGTGTCCACGCCCAAGTGTTGCCAACCTAAGTGTCTGAGTGTCCACGCCCATGTGTTGCCAACCTAAGTGTCTGAGTGTCCACGCCCAAGTGTTGCCAACCTAAGTGTCTGAGTGTCCACGCCCATGTGTTGCCAACCTAAGTGTCTGAGTGTCCACGCCCATGTGTTGCCAACCTAATCCAATAGGCCATAGGTTAGCCCATTCCACCAAGTTCCACCTCCCTCCGTTTTCCTTCCAAGCTTCTCTTCCCAACTATATATACAGATGTTCTGGCTTAGAGGCCCTTCCTAAAAGAGTCCCATTTCCTCAGCGAGTAGATTTTTCACATAAGTCCTAGGCGTATCCCCTCCTCTACAGTCCCATTTTTGGCGGGAAAGCTTGCATCTTGACTGAATCATTGCGCGAATCAGTTCCGCAGCCAATCAGAGGACGCAAATCAAACCTGTCAGAACATTTAGGGAAAATAAAACATAAGGAAGTTTTGATTCACTATTTACTTTTTGCAGTTGTGTTTGTCTGTTTATCTTGACCGCTCTTGCGTCTAAATCCTGTTGCGCGGTTCCCCGCGAGCTCCGACGATGCCATCTCATTAATCTCGCTTACAGTGTAAAACAAAAAATGTTGTCTTTCATTTCGGCCTTAAACATATTTTATTTTGTATTTTTCTGCCCGTTTGTCCTGCGACACTGATCAACGCGGCGAACCGTGCGACGAGAAGTTGAAGACAGCGTAGTCCAAACGTACGTATGTGACAGAGAAACACGAATAGTAGCGAAGAAAAAATCGCTCTTCATGCAATTGTCCTTATATGGGACTATAAGTTCCCTTTTGCCCGGGGTTTGTGAGTTTTCCACAAAAGCCCGCAGCGTGCGTGTTTTTCACGGGGACTCTAATCGGGAACATCTGTACACGCTTCTCATCTGATCAATTCAATGGTTTATTTTCAATTCTTGTTCTCAAACATATAAGTGTTCGGTTCGCCACGAACATGTTCGTGGCGAACCAAACAGGTGTTCACCCTCCTGCTCAAGCCTCATATAAGGGCCCACTCAGTACGTTTCGTCATCACACAACCACCACTGGCCTTCTCAGACAGATATCACCCTCACCTTCATCCCTCTCACATCTTGAGGTCGGACTGGGTAAGGTTGTATGTGAAGGGAGTGGAGAGAACGCTGCCCAGACAGGCAGGTGGAACTCTTCACATCCATTGCAGTCACATCCACACTCACTTGCGTTGCGCCTTTATCGCGCCCACTTCTTCAGGTTGGACCGGGCGAGGTTGTATGTGAAGAGCTCGGCACAACTCATACTGACCGTCATGCACCGCACTCACTTCTTCAGGTCGGGCTGGGCGAGGTCGTATGTGAAGAGTTCGGCACAACTCATACTCACCGTCATGCACCGCACTCACTTCTTCAGGTCGGGCTGGGCGAGGTCGTATGTGAAGAGCTCGGCACAACTCATACTGACCGTCATGCACCGCACTCACTTCTTCAGGTCGGGCTGGGCGAGGTCGTATGTGAAGAGCTCGGCACAACTCATACTGACCGTCATGCACCGCACTCACTTCTTCAGGTCGGGCTGGGCGAGGTCGTATGTGAAGAGCTCGGCACAACTCATACTGACCGTCATGCACCGCACTCACTTCTTCAGGTCGGACAGGGCGAGGTCGTATGTGAAGAGCTCGGCACAACTCATACTGACCGTCATGCACCGCACTCACTTCTTCAGGTCGGACAGGGCGAGGTCGTATGTGAAGAGCGGTGGAGAGAGCTCCTCCCCACCCCAGGCAAGCCAAGGCCTCTTCTTTTGCTTTCATCACACCACACCACACCACACATCACCTATTTTACTTTTGAGAATTCTCAAAAGTGGCCCACTCACTTCTTCAGGTCGGATCGGACCGGGCACGAAGAGAGCTCTATTTTGAGTTGATTCAAAAGAGAGCACTCTGCTCTGCAGGCAAGCTGTGGCTTTTTCTTGAGTTGTCGCATCCACCCATCACATTCACATTCAGCCCGCTCACCTACTTCCGTTGTCGCATTCAGATTCATCCCACGCACTTCTTCAGGTCACAGTCGTATGTGAAGATCGTGGAGAGTGGAGAGAGAGAGAGAGAGATTTCACGTACCTGGGCGCAAGCGTCACTCCCCATCTCGCTCGGCGGTTTAGGTCTCACAGACCCCTCGGTGGAGGGACGTGTTGGGTTTCTCGCAAGCTACACGCAAGCGCAGCACCTGCTCACCTCCATTGATGAGTCGGCGGTCGGCGCCCTGGCGGAAACGCGGATCCAGATGGTGGGGCCCTTCATCAACACGTCCCCGCTCTTTGACTGGCTGGAGAGGTGTGAGGAGTCACTGCCGGATGATGGGAAGGAGCTGCTGCAGAGCGACCGAGTTGATCCCAAGGGCGTCAAGCTGCAGCACGGGCTGGCAATCGCGGTCCACGGACTGCGCTACGCGGAGCAGGTGCAGGCTACACGCATCATGCCTCTCAACCCAATGAGCGGGCACACTCAGCGCATGCTCTCACTCTCAGGGTATGGGGCAGGAGACTGGCTCAATGCAGTCCCCTTCAACTCGACACTACGGCTTGCCCCTGCTCACTTTGCGCATGCGCTGCAATTCCGGATGGGGCTACCCTCCTCAGCTCCAGGCGCGTGTGACTGCCGCAAGGAGACAGCGATCCCAGACAGGCGGCTGCCCAACCACCTGCTGCGCTGTGACACAGGGAAGGGGCGGACCAACACGCACAATGAACTGCGCGATGCGTGTCTGCACATGGCCGCCGACGCTGATTTCATGACTCACAGTGAGACGACCACGTTCTGCCCCGTCACCCTTAAGAAAGCAGACATAGCGATCCGGGACAAGTCCTCAGGGGCGGTGTGGATAGGGGACGTGACCATCACGGACCCCATTAGCACACGGGATCCCAACGCGGTTAAGGGCAGGGGGTGGGCGGCCAGAGAGGCGGCAGAGAAAAAGATCTCCGACTACGAGGGCTCAACGGCCTCGTGGGTCGGATTCTTCCCTCTCGCCGTTGATACCTACGGCTGCCCCTGCGTGGAGGTCCCTCAATTCCTCAAACTTCTGGCCGACACCGGCGCGCGCAGGCTCTTCAACGCGGCCCCCTCATCTTACCAAGCAACAAAGCTGCTGCATCAGTTCCGCCAGCGGTGGTCCGTGGCGCTGCAGCGGGCGCAGTCGGTGAGCTTCATGACGAAGTGCAACTATGCGGCTCAGGTAGAGAACCCACCTGTGGCGCTGCCGGGCGAAGGCATGTCCCTCGGGGACTGCCTTGCCATCCTGGAGCCTGCACTGGAGCTGCCTTAGAGGGTGAATGAGAGTAGGTAGGATATGGGGGTTATAGAGGCTGAGGTGCATTGCTCCTTATAACCTTGTGCATGTCTGTACCGTGCTCGGATCTAATACACGGACCGCTTGAGAGAGAGAGAGAGAGCAGCAGCAGCTAGGAACCGGTTCAGGGCCAACCCCCTGTCGAAATCGGCCAAGAAGATGGCCTGCCACTTCAGCCAGCGATGGTCAGTGGCCCTCCAGCGCTCCCAGGCGAATGCCCTACACACCAAGGCCAGGGCTGGGATAGAGGCAGCGCACCCCCAGATGGCAGCGGACCCATGGCCACTGCACCTAGGGGACATCCTCCACACGCTGGAGGGTTAGAGGGGCACTAAGGGGGGGAAGGGTCAGAGGGATGGGTTGATGGGTCGGAAGGTATAAGGGAACCACGAGTCAAATTGCATGTCTGTACCCCCCTGCTGAATCAATACAAAGGACCATTTGAGAGAGAGAGAGAGAGAGAGTAACCCAGCGTGTCATATTAACCGTCATGCTTCCCACTCACTTCTTGAAGTCGGACTGGGCCAGGTCATATGTGAAGATCGTGGAGAGAGCGGCCCCCAGGCTGTGCCCCGTGACCATGATGTGATACCTGGTGGGGCATGAGGGCATGAGGGTGGGTTGGTGGCATGGTGGGACACATGGTATGGTGGCATGATGGGACACATGGCATGGAGGGACACATGGTATGGTGGCATGATGGGACACATGGCATGGAGGGACACATGGCATGGAGGGACACATGGCATGGAGGGACACATGGCATGGAGGGACACATGGCATGGTGGCATTCTTAGAAGAGCGTGGAGAGAGCGCCCCCCAGGCTGTTTCCTGTGACCATGATGTGATAACTGGGGGCATGAGGGCATGAGGGTGGGTTGGTGGCATGGTGATGGTGGCATGATGATGGTGGCATGTCAGGATGATGATGGCATGGTGATGACAGCATGATGATGACGGCATGATGATGATGGGATGGTGATGATGGCATGATGATGGTGGCATGGTGATGACGGTATGGCATGATGATGATGGGTGGCACGATGATGGTGGCATGGTGATGATAGCATGCTGATGATGGCATGATGATGGTGGCATGGTGATGAAGGTGGCATGCTGATGATGGCATGACAATGATGGCATGTCAATGATGGCCTGATGACGGTGATGGCTTGATGCCATTATTACACGAGGAAAAGCATGGGCTATACAGACGGGTTACCCGGAGGCAAGAGGTGCCAAGTCATGACTCCTCTCTTGGGATCAATCGGGCTCACTTTTCGTTGGAGGAGAGGATTGCTCCAAAAGGATCCTAGCCTAGGATTGCTTTAAGCAGCGGAATGAGGCGGGGCGTCATGGACTCGAGTATTGAGACGTCTCAAAACTCGATCCCCAGGCTCACTCACTCACGTTAGCTCGAAACTCACTTTTCGTTGGAGGAGGAGAGGATTGCTTTGAGCAGCGGAATGAGGCGCGGCGTCACGGACTTGTAGCTGTTCAGAAAGCCACGGTGCACCTGAGAGGGAGCAATGGGAACAGAGGGGCAAACAAGAGAGGTTGCTGAGAGCTTGAGGCGCAGTAGAGTGAGGAGCAGCGGAATGAGGAGCAGTGGAATGAGGAGCGGCGGAATGAGGAGCGGCGGAATAAGGAGCAGCAGAATGAGGAGGAGCGGAATGAGGAGGAGCGGAATGAGGAGCGGCGGAATGAGGAGCGGCGGAATGAGGAGCAGCGGAATGAGGAGCAGCGGAATGAGGAGGAGCGGAATGAGGAGCAGCGGAATGAGGAGCAGCGGAATGAGGAGCAGCGGAATGAGGAGCAGCGGAATGAGGAGCGGCGGAATGAGGAGCGGCGGAATAAGGAGGCTCCTTATTAAGGAGGAGCGGAATGAGGAGGAGCGGAATGAGGAGTGGCGGAATGAGGAGCAGCGGAATGAGGAGCAGCGGAATGAGGAGGAGCGGAATGAGGAGCAGCGGAATGAGGAGCAGCGGAATGAGGAGCAGCGGAATGAGGAGCAGCGGAATGAGGAGGAGCGGAATGAGGAGCAGCGGAATGAGGAGCAGCGGAATGAGGAGCAGCGGAATGAGGAGCAGCGGAATGAGGAGGAGCGGAATGAGGAGCAGCGGAATGAGGAGCAGCGGAATGAGGAGCAGCGGAATGAGGAGCAGCGGAATGAGGAGCAGCGGAATGAGGAGCAGCGGAATGAGGAGGAGCGGAATGAGGAGCAGCGGAATGAGAAGCGGCTTCACGGACTTGTAGCCATCTAGAAAGCCGACATGTGCCTGAGAGGGAGTGTAGGAGAGAGGGAGTGGTAGGGGGAAGTACGTGGAGGTTTGGTGGTTTCACAACCACCTAGAGATTCGTGAAGCAATGGAAGTGTTACCAACGTTACAGATACTACATACATGCATCCAACTTCCAGTTCTGAGATGACTCGTGAGGCGCCTCAAAAGGAACGGTAGCGACTTTTGAGGCGCCTCAGAAAGAATGGGAGTGCGGCCAGGCCAACGGAAACACATTCATCCAGCTTCCAGTCCTGAGCTGAAAAAGTTCCGTGTGACTCAAATTTCTGAGTTGTAACGAGCTGACATTTGAGTCGACTCAGAACTCAGACACAACGGAAGTGCGGCCAGGCCAACAGAAACACATTCATCCAGCTTCCAGCCCAAAACGACGTCTCAAAACTCAGATCTGAGTCGAATTTCCAAAAAATACATCTAATCCAGTTTACATGCTTGTAGTGTGCTTCACGTTACCTTAACACCTGCCTTGTTGTCCTCTTCCGTTAGATCTGAGTCGAACCTGTGGTTGGGGGGAAGGGCGGAGGGAAGGGAGGAGGGAAGGGCGGAGGGAAGGGAGGAGGGAAGGGCGGAGGGAAGGGCGGAGGGAAGGGCGGAGGGAAGGGAGGAGGGAAGGGATGAGGGAAGGGAGGAGGGAAGGGCGGAGGGAAGGACAGAGGGAAGGGAGGAGGGAAGGGCGGAGGGAAGGGAGGAGGGAAGGGCGGAGGGAAGGGAGGAGAGTGGTGGGAGAGGTTGAAGTTAATAGAGTTGAGGGAAGGAAGGGAGGAAGGAGATAAAAAGATCAAGATGAGCTGTTTGGTATGTTTTCATACACGCATTAGGCTTATTACTTGGGCTTTGTAGGGACATCTGGTGATGTATATGTATTTCAGCTCTTGGGCAACTAATGAGCATTCCCAAAATAATGTGCAGGTGCAGCACTCACTCCCTGTCCTTGTGCAGGTGCAGGCCGCAGGTCTTTGTGGAATGGACAAGTACTCACTTGTGCTTGTGCAGGTGCAGCCACATTTGAGGCTGCAACCACATGCGTGCAGGTGCAGCCTCAGGTCCGTGTGACGCGACTTTGAACTTCGTCTGGTGAGTATCAAGTGTGAGATTATGGTGCCTGCATGATTATGCGCACTTGTGCCACTCAATGGTTCTCGAGGACCCTAGTCAACTCAAAGAAAGCCTCAGGTCCGTGTGACACGACTATGAACTTCATCGGGTGAGGCTCAAGTGTGAGATTATGGTGCATGCATGGTTATGCACATGTGTGTGTGCCACTCACGGGTTCTCCCAAAGCCTAAAGTCGGTCAGAACATCCATCCACGAAATCTTGAACTTCTGGAGATCCTGTTGGATGGTGGTGGATGGGTGTGAATGGGTGTGAGAGGGTGTGAATGGGTGTGAGAGGGCGTGAATGGGTCAGAACATCCATCCACGAAATCTTAAACTTCTGGAGATCCTGGTGGTGGTTGGTGAATGGGGAAGCACAGGACCAAGGAGAGAGGGTGTGAGAGTGTGAGAGAGGGTGTGAGAGAGGGTGTGAGAGAGGGTGTGAGAGCGTCAGGTGGGGGACTATGCTCATGAAGGAGAGAAAGGGGAGGGCCATTAGTTGCAATGCAATGCCTGTTGGCAACCAAAAATGGGAAAGGAGCAAGGAAAGTGGATAGGAAGGAAGGTAGAATTATCAAGGTGAATCCTTGATAGTACATATCGCTTGCCAGTTCTCCCACCTGTGCATCCTTCAAACCTTCTAGAAATATTACTTTTGTTTTTCTAGATACCAACTCCACCTGTTCAGTTCCCACATGTCGAATTCCCCATCTCTTCAGTTCCCACCTGCCCACTTCCCACCTGCCCACTTCCCACCTGTCCAGTTCCCACCTGTCCATCGTCAAACGAGGTCTCACTTACAAACTCAGTGCCTCGGAACGCCACCACTAGCCTCTTCCTCAGCGGGTCCTTGTCCCTCCACACGAACACCTGCACGCCCGAGTCCAAATTGCAGCGAAGCAAACAGCAGTGAAGCAACAACAGCAAAACACGGCAAACGTGCAATGACTCCCCACACATACCCTGATAGCAGCAGCAGCGAAAAAAACAGTTGTGGTGAAACAACAGCGATGCAACATGGAGACAAGAACGACGAGTATCGACTACCACATTTGCACAGAAAGTAACTTAAGCATTTTTTACCCTGCAACTTTCGAGAATTCTAAAAAACACTTCGCAACTTTTGAGAATTCTAAGAAACGACAACAAGAATCCACGACCACATCTAAACAGGAAGTATCTTAGGAGACGATGGGGGCTTGGGGAGGGATGCCTCAAAACGCGACCTTAAACGCAACTCAAAACGCGACTCAAAACGCGCCTCAAAGGCAACTCAGAAGCCACCCACCTGAGTGTCCGTCCTGTCACCGCTCAGAAAACACACGCACTCAAACGCCGACTTGAAGAATTCCTGCTGCTCGCCCGCAGCTGCCCGCGAAAGGTTCTCCCAGGCGGCGAGCTTCACGGCATCAGCTCCACTGGAAAAAAGAGTTTCAACTGCCCGTTGGTCCGTGAGTGTGAGCCCATAGGCTGCTGCTTCGTCTACAGCTTTTGAGCCTGCCTGGGGTACTGTTGCGGACTTGGGAAGCGGGGCGTCAATAAGCTTCTGGAGGATGGGGAGAGGCTCGAAGCTGGGGTGGGTGGGGAGGGCAGGGAGGCTGGGAGGAGATGCAGGGGAAGTGGGGGAATCGAATGGGGTGAGTTTGATGCACGTATGGGGCAGAACAGCATGTGAGAGTGAGAGCAAGACGCAGGCCTGTGTGGGTGGGAAGAGAGAGAGGGAGCCTGCGAAAAGGCGGAAGTGGGAAGAGGGGTGCTGAGAGAAAGGTCTGGGGGATGGGTAGAGGCTCAAAACTGAGGGGAGAGCAGGGAGGGACGAAGTGATAGGAGTAGTGAACTTAGAAGGTTCTCTTAAATTTAGTGAGAGGGTCCAAACAGAAGCAACATGAGGAGGACGAAACTACTGCAATTGGTACAGCTGGCCCTTGCTCAGTGGAGTGAACGGTCCCTGCAGGCCTAGCACATCCGCGGTAAGAGCCTCGTGGGTCTTATCCCTGAGGGCGTTGGCTTGGGCTCTCTGCAGGGTCACGCTCCAGCGCTGGCGGTACTCGGTGAGTAGTTTCGCCACCTCCCTCGACTTTGGGGAGGCGTTAAACCGCCGCTTTGCCGCCAGCTCCGCGCAGCTGCGAAGGAAATCGAGGACTCCAGATGAGGGGTAGCCGTAAGTCTCCACCGCCATGGCGTAGAAGCCCACCCACGGGCTCCGCCCGGCATATTTGGTCTCCTTCTTGTCCGCTTGCATCCTCGCCGCCCATCCGGGCGCCTTGTGAGCGTACTCATCCTGGTGGGAGACGGGTTCTGTGACTGTGATGTCACAGATCCATACTACACCGGTGTCGGGATGGCGGATAGAAATATCCGCTTTGAGGTTTTCGACCGGTGAGTATGCCGTTGTCTCCTTGTGCACCGTGAATCCCGCTTCAGCCGCTATCTTCGCCCACTTCATCTCGCAAGGCATTGTGAGTGCCGATTCTCCCCCCCGCCCTTTCTCACACAGCATCAAGTCGTCCGGGAAGGTGGTGTGGTATCTGCAGTTGCAGCGTCTTGGCACAGGTAGCGGCAGTCCCAGGCGGAAGGATGCCGCAGTGGAGAACTGGGAGGGACCAAGGCGGAGGGAAGAGATCAGGGGAATGGTCAGCAGCCAGTGCCCCGCCCCCGGGCCCAAGAGGGACTGTAACCTCTACGTATGGCCAAACAGTGGGTTCAGGTCCATGTTCCATGAGCTGTCCAGCAGTCGGATGTAGCAGGCTGTGTGCACCGCGAGGGAGAGAGCTTGCTGTAGCTTCGGCCCGTTAGGCTTTTGTCTCCCTGTCTGCAGGGCCTCTATTCCGGCAGGTGGCAACTCGGCTTCCAGGGCAGCGAGGCGTCGTGGGAGGAGGGATGTGGATTCTCCGTCAGCATCCATCAGCGGCAGTAGTCCTGATAGGGCCGGGTTTGCTGAGTCGCCGAAGGAGAGTAGCAGGTGGGCGGCCGATACAACTGAAGCCAGGTAGGCGAATCTCCCCTCCACTGCAGGGTTGGTGATGCCGAGGCCTCCTAGGGACGCGGGCAATGCGGCTTGGTGCCAGATCCTGTCCCTCTCTGCCCGGTCCCTGGGGATACTTGTATGTGTCGTGGCCAGGTAGGTGTGGAGCAGTTCTTCCCCCCAGGCCAACCACTCCTCCAACGGAAGGGCCTCGGGGGGCGTGGCTCTGACCAGGAACGAGGCGCGGCGGCTCACGCAGCGGGTGAGTAGTAGCAGGCAGAGTTAGGGGTCCATCTGGGCGAGGAGTGTGAGAGGTTCGGCAGCTGCTGCGAGACGTTCGCGAACTCGAGCCGCACAGCCGGTGGGGGGGCCAATGGGGCTGCCCAGGACGCGGACTCCATCTTGGGAAATCGTGATGCCAGCAGGTAAGGTGGCGGGGTCAAGTGCAGCTGCGGACCACGCCTCGCATTTTGCCGGGTTGTGGGCCAGCCCATGAAGGAGGAGGGCTTCCGTGAGGTGTGCGAACGCTGCCGTGCAGTTCGCCGCCTCCCCTAGTAGTGTGATGTCATCTGCATACGCCAGAAACACCACGTCCGGATGTGCCGCTGCCGATTGGACGAGGCAGGGGTGGATGCTGGCTGCAAACAGCATGGATCCCAGCGGGTCGCCCTAGCGTACGCCCCGTGCGTTCTGAAGTGGTTCTGCTCTGAAGTCATGGTCGAGATAGAGCGCTGATGAGTTGCCGTAAGAGAAACGGACGAGGGGCACTAACACTTCGAGGTCGGTGCCTTTCAGGCCCTCGAACATTGCCGCGCGCTCCACTGCATTGAAGGCGTTGGCCAGATCTATCTGCAGCGTCGTTGCTCCTGGGAACTCCTCCAGGTAGGTGCGTGCGGCGTGTATTGCCGCCTCTATTCCTCCCGCGATTGCTACTCCAAACTGAAGCGGGGTGAAGTGCTCGCGCGCCGCTGGAGCGGCTAGAAAAGGGCCGCCTTGGCGATGAGGCGTAGTAGGCATTCACCCACAGCTATCGGCCGCGTTCCGCCCTGTGGTTTCGAGAAGGCAAGTAGGCCTAACGCTGTTAGGAGATCCGCCACGTCTGCCTTCAGTTTCCAGCGAGCGCCGTGTTGGTAAGTGCATGCAGCTGTAGGAAAACGTCTCCGTTCCCAAGGGCCGCGTCTCTAAGGTGCTCAAAGGTGGTGCCGGAGGGCCCAGCCCCTACCCCGTTGGGGCATTTTGCCAGCAGTCGCCTGAAATCCCAGGCAGCGATGAAAGGGACGTTTTCTGGGGCGAAGTCGTGCACCCATGAAGGGATGGCCGTGGTGGCGTCTGGGTGTCTAGCTGTGAGCGCGCTGAGGACTTCATCGCTCGGCGTGCAGACGGACGTGGCAGTCAGAGTCTGTAGTGATTTCGCCAGGTTCCCTCTTTTAGCCAAGCCTTCGGCCGCCGTTCTCCAGAGCGTCGCGATGATCACTGGGACGGTGCTGGCGATCTTCTGTCCCCCGCGGGCCGTCGCTCTCCTTGCCACCAATCCCCTCGTGGTCGGGCAGGTCAGCGCTCACCCCGAGCGCCTCCGCGGTGATCTCCGGCGACGCGGGGGAGGGGGTCGCCTGGGCGTCGCTGGGATTCGGGTCGCCGCGAGTAGTCCCCTCCGCGTCCACACTAGGCTGGTTCCGGGGGCCGTCGGGGCCGGCGGAATGGCAGTGGGCGTGGCGGTAATGGTCGCGGGCAGGATCCTGCCCTCGATCGGGCCACGAATGCGTTTGTGGAAGTGGTGCGGCAGGTGCGGGCGAGTGGGGAGCCGACTCACGTGCACATTGAGGTGACCAACGGCCCTCCCTTCGCCGTGGATCCTGGCCAGGTGGCTCCTCTGCGCGCGCCGACGCTGCGCGAATATCTGCCCGCGCGAGAGGGGAGGGCTCAGTTTCGCACCCCTCATCAGGTCCCGGGCTTCTCCGCGCAGCGCTTCTCTGTTGGCCGGACTCCTGGCTGGCCGACGGCTTTTCCATGCGAAGCTCCGACTGCACCTCCTCCCACTCACTCGAAGAGAGACCCCATGCTGACCATGTGCTGGATTCTGAATCTGGCGGAGGCGTTCGAGGTGGTGGCGAACCTGCAACTGGCGGTGTGTGGGGCCACGCGGAACTTTCCATGCAGTTACGGTCCAAGGTCCCGAGGATCCTGCGTGTCTTTGGCAGAATCTCTCGAGTCGCCGTTGGCACCCGTGTCGGAAGCGCCCGCCGGGTTAGCGCCCTTAGCGCGTACCTTCCCCCGCCACGTGGGGGATCTTGTTGGGGCTGCTCGAGTCGGGACCCCAGTGGACACACTTCAGTCGTCGGCGCATCTCCTCCTTGCGATGTCGGCGTGCATGCGCTCGATGCTTGAGGTGGAGGGGGCGGAGCCGTACACGATGTAGGCTTCCGCCGCGTGTCGTACTGCATCCCCGTAGCTCTTGTTGTCTCCCTTCTCCCTTCTCTCTAGAATGGTCCTTGCATTACTATGAGGGGTGGTACAAAGGAAGATGCAGAACACACAAGCACAACAAACATCCAAACCGAGATCCTAACTACCTCAAGTCTCCTACCTACTCACCCCCCCCCCCTCTGTCCGACCCTACTGATCGAACGGGGCCTCAATCAACTGGTGCAGCTGTCCCTCACTGGTGCAGATGGGTCCTCTAAAGCCGAGCTCGTCCGCCGCCAAGGCCTCGTTGGTCTTGGAGTGGAGGGCGTTGGCCTGCGCCCGCTGGAGGCACACGCTCCAGCGCTGGCGGTACTCCGACAGCAGCTTCGCTGCTTCGTAGGAGGTAGGAGCCGCATTAAACCGCAGCTTTGCCGCCAGCTCTGCGCACTGCCGCAGGTAAGCCATCACCCCTGGCGAGGGGTAGCCATAAGCCATCACCCCTGGCAAGCGCGTGGAACCCTACCCACGCGTTCCGCCGTGCGTACTTATCCTCCTTTTTCTCTGCTGCCGCCCTGGCCGCCCATCCAGGAGCTCGGTTGCAGTTCTCGTCCTGCCTTGACACCAGGTCCGTCACGGTCACGTCGCACATCCAAACCTCACCAGTCAGGGGATGACGGATGGTGACATCCGCCTTGAGGTTTTCAACCAGTGAGTAGACATACGTCTCCTTGTGAACCGTAAACCCCGCTTCCGCCCCTATGTTCGCTATCTCATCCCGCAGAGCGTGGTGGGTTGCGGTCCTCCCTTTCCCCTTCTCACAGCGCATGAGGTGGTTGGGGAGGCGGTCGGCGGGGAAGGTGGTGCGGTAGCGGCAGTCACAGCGTCTAGGCACGGGAAGGGGGAGGCCTAGGCGGAAGGCAGCTGCAGTTGAGAGCTGGGACGGGCCCATCCGGAGCGAGGGGGTGAGCGGGATCGCCAGCAGCCAGTCCCTCGCCCCTGGGCCTGGCACCGACTGCATCCGTTGCGCGTGGCCAGAACGGGGGTTGGGGCGCATCCTCCTTGCCTCGCGCATGACTCTCAGGAAGCGGCGGGAGTGGACCGCCAGTGCTAGGTTCTGCTGCAGCTTCAGTCCCTTGGGGTCAGCCTTCCCGGCCTGCAGCACCTCGAGAGCCTCGGGGGGCAGGGCGGCCTCAGCCGCGGCGAGGCGTGCAGGTAGCGCGTGTGGGGAGC